CAGAAAAACATTTTGTATAATTAGACAGTGGTTGGATATTAGTGTTTTTTTTATCATGTTGTGAATGAGACATCGGCAGAAGAACTTTGGAAAAATTGGCAACTCTGTATGAGAGAAAAACAACCAAAAACAAAGCATTCTTTATGAGAAAGCATGTAAACTTGAAGTAGAAAGAGAAACATAATAGCTCCTAAAATGTCTCCATACTGATAATGGAGGCGAGTATACTTCCAGAGAGTTTGAAAATTACTGCTTTAAATATGGCATCAGACATTAGAAGACAATTCTTGGAACCCCTCAGCACAATGGGTGGTAGAGAGGTACAATCGCACAGTTGTTGAGAAGATCAGATGCATGTTAAAGATGGATGCATTGCCAAAGTCTTTTTGGGAGAAGCTGCTAGCACTGCCTGTTATTTGATAAACAGATCTCCCTCATCTCTGTTGAACTCAGATATTTCAGAAAGGGTATGGAGAGAGAAAGATGCCTCATATTCTCATCTGAAGGTGTTTGGTTGCAAGGATTTTGAACATGTTTCAAAGGAGCAGCGATCGAAGCTTGATGACAAGGCTATTCCTTGTATATTCCTGGGATATGGCAATGAAGAGTTTAGGTACAAACTATGGGATCCTAAAAGAAGAAGATTTTTAGAAGCAGAGATGTAGTATTCCGTGAGACTAAGAATATTACAGACTTAGAGAAGACTGAGAAGCCTACTAAAGGGAAAGAAATTTTGTTTGATCCTACATCCATTCCTTCTTCTTCAAATGGTGCATTGGAGGATAAGAGATTCATGAAGAGCACATTGATCATGATGGTTCAGAGGCAGTGGGTGATGTTGATGATGAGCAAGGGGAGCAACCCCATAAAGAGAGGTAGTAGAACCACAGATTAGATGGTCCATGAGAGAGCGTCAGCCAACATAGAGATATCCCACTTCTGAGTATATCATCCTTATTGATGATGGGGAGCCTGAATGTTTTAATGAAGCAGTTGACAACAATGACAAAGATAGCTGGATGAAGGCTATGCAAGAGGAAATGAATTCCCTGTATAAGAATCACACTTATGACTTGATAAAACTTCTAAAGGAAGGAAAAGCATTGTAGAATAAATAGGTATACAAGATCAAGAGGGATGCTAATGGCAAGCTAGTGAAACACGAGGCTCAGTTGGTGGTGAAAAGGTTCAGACAGAAGAAGGGTATTGACTTTAGTGAGATCTCCTCTCAAGTTTCCAATATGTCATCCATTTGAGCAATCCTTAGTTTGGCAACTAGTTTGAATCTTGAGGTTGAGTAGCTAGATATGAAGTCTGCATTTCTTCATGATGATTTAGATCAAGAAATTTATATGATTCAACCTAAAGGTTTTTAAGTCAAAGAAAAAGAACACATGGTCTGTAGGTTGAAGAAGAGCCTTTATGGCCTGAAGCAGGCACTGCGACAATGATATAAGAAGTTTGGTTCACTCATGGTGGATATTGGATATAAAAGAACTCGTGTGGATCCTTATGTATACTTCAACAAGTTCCTATATGGTAAATTCATTATTCTTCTGTTGTATGTTGATGATATGTTGATTGTTAGGGAAGATGGCAGTATGATTGGGAAATTGAAAGAGCAGTTATTCAAGTCCTTTGATATGAAGGACTTAGGGCCAGTTAGGCAACTTTTGGGCATGGACATTGTTCATGATAAGAAGGCTAGGAAGCTATGGTTGCCATAAAAAAGTATGTTGACATAGTTAATCATATGAAGGCTAGGACACCCGTACTCAAAATTTCTTTATCACTTACCTTCCTAACTTGATTTTTCATCCAAAATTAAAGTTAACATAGTTAATTTTTTTTAAAAAAAATACCAAAGCTAACCTTAAAAAACATGGGATAGGATATTGTGACACTCAAGTTATGTTACACCCATGTGACACCCAGTCAATCTCACCGTTAGATCGCTTATGTTGATCCAACGGTTATATTTATTTCCATATTTGTATGGTCATGATTTCCCAAATTTAAAGTGAAAGCATTAAATATGGGAAATCATAACCATACAAAGGTAGAAATAAATATAAAATATTAAATTTGAGAAATCATGACCATACAAAGATGAAAATAAATATAACCGTTGGGTCAACATAAGCGATCTAACAGTGAGATTGACTGGGTGTCACATGGGTGTAACATAATTTGGGTGTCACAATATCCTATCCTAAAAAACATAGAGAAGAAGCTAACGTTGTGGGTGTTTGTATACAATATTTCCAAATTATGCATATCCCTTTTATAATTCTAAATATTTTATTTTAATCTATATTTTTTAAATTGTATTTAAAATAATTATAAATATTTTATTTTATAATTTTAATTATCTGCGAAACGTTCTGATTGAGATAAAGAAGAAAAACACGAGTTTTATATAATGTAACCGAAAACAAAAATAAATCTAGACCTTAGCGCCAGGGTGGAATACAGTTCAGTTTTATCCTCAGCATTGTCATCATCACAAAATTTGGCGTCACGTACATTTTATCTGGTATTCAAATTTGGCGTCCTCGTAATATATTGGTTGTGTGTTTGTGTGTGCGCTTTTTTTAATTACCCATCACTAAGAAGCCGGCAAAAATTTTAAAGGATATAACATATAAATTTGTGTAAATTTAAATGTAATTTTAAGTGAAATTATTAGTGGAAGAAAGAAAATATAAAAAATTATTAAATATATATCAAAACACAATAATCTCACTTAAAAGACATAAATTTATATCCTTTAAAATGATAGATAATTTTTATATAATCTAAATCTATTTATATTTAAAGACAAGCTCATCTTAAATGAGTTTTTTCCATGCTAGCATACAATTGATGTAAGCTATATTGCAAAGTTTCAAACTTCTAATATTTCAATCTCAATCAAATGCGCGTTAAGCAGTTTTAGGTCTACAACTAGTGCGAAAAATTTTCCACATCCCTAGGCGAAAGTTAATCATTTGGTCGCGTTAATTTTTGACTCGAGTCACAAGATCGATCCGTAATTAAGTTTCTCACAACAATTATCGATAGTGGCATCAATCTCTTAATGAATGACCTAATTAATGGTTGAGAGCTTGAGGTGATTTACACAAAAAGACGATTTTGTTACGTATACCCAATAAATTGTGACTTTTTTTTTCTTTTCTTTTAATATCCATTATTATGTTTTATTTTTGTCCTTAATTTTCTATCTCCTTGATTGTATCTGCTATGACATAATGTTCCTTCTCATGACAGGTAAATATTGTCAGTTTCCTCTTCATTCTTGTTTATCTGTAAGCTTCTTATAGGCGAGGAATCTGTGTTATAAATATAAATGGTACGTTAACTTATAATTCTTTTTTTTTTTTTGGATTGCTCCTCTGGTTTTCGGAGCTTCGCTCCGATTATGTCCAGTCCGACCCAGATAGATTATCTAGCATTGACAGATAAATCTCCCAGCAAGAATTTACTGTATACACAAGTTAACTTATAATTCTTAAAGACAACAAAGCTTCTAATGCAATGCATTTCGGTCAACTTTTTCAAAACCCACTTCACTGGCGGCGAGTCCTTCCTTAACAAGCAACAGTAAAGTGCCTCTGTTTTTAATTATTATTATTATTTTGTCCATTATAAGTTCACTCAAGATCACTTTCTGCTGTGGTAGGCTCAATTCAAAATATCGGGAATAAGCTTCTTAGTTGACATAGTAATAAAATAACAATAGATAATTGTTTCTCGTGTTTCAACATAACGAAGTCAAGTCATCTTATAGTTTTGGGTTGGTAAAACACGTACGAAATATTTTAAAAATTGTACTACTTTTTTATAACAAAGAGAGATATATTTATAATTTTTTTGTTACAAATTTTTATAAATTATACTCTTAGAAATATATTTACAGTACTTCCAGGAGTATATAGTTTATGAAGCACCGACACTTCAAAATCTCTAATGTGTCGTGTCTGACATTTTTCGACACTCACCGACACTCCAACACTTCCCGATACTCTAATACTAGTTGTAAAGACTCAAAAAAGGTTAAAATGTTACGTTATATTGCATTTTGAGTTCCAACTATTAAATTCGTTGGTTTACTATTACTATTTTATTGAATTTAATATAAACATTTGGAATATCTTATATTTCTATGCAAAATTGATGGGTATTATAAGTTTAGCTTTATTTTTTGTTAAATTATTGAATATTAAATATAATATACACTACATAAATTAAAAATATTATATAATATCAAAATGTGTCCTAACGTGTCGAAATTTAACATTTTTTAGAATTAACGTGTCAGAGTGTCGTATCCCGTGTCTCGTGTCGGTGTCGGTGCAACATAGTATATAGTAGTGTAATTTGTAATAATTTATAAAAAAAATTTATAAACAGATCGTTTTTCTTTTTATAATATGATTTTTTTTTTAAAAAAATTAATTCTTTTTCTTCAAATTTTAAAACCACGTTATTTAGAAATAATAGGAGATAATATTTCAATCTTATACATATCTATGTCCTCTTGTTTTATTTAAAAGTAGTAGCTTCCATAGCCACGTGTTGTAAATAGTTTATAATATCATATTCGCCCATATTTTATGTTCATATTTTGATTTAAATATCTTTTTGGTTTTCAGCCAATTTCACGATACCCGCTTTAGTCCCTAATAAATAAAAGGCCCATCGTGGTCCATAAAAAATTCAAAATGGACCAATTTTAGTCCTTTCAAGGACCAACATGAGTCTTTTTTGAATTTATGAGGGCCACGATTTCAAGTCTATTTTGAATTTCTTAAAACCACGATGGACTTTTTTATTTGCTAGGAGTAAAACGGTCACTGTGAGTTGCTGGGACCAAAAAAAAATATTTACTGTTTGATTTATATGTTGGTCAGATCCATAACCATCTGAGCATTTATTTATGTGTTTTTTCCGATCGTATTTGATTTTTCTATCCATGAATGCGACGTGTCAGTAGTAATTACAGAACTACTCCATGATTTACTTTTGCTGTTCTTCACTTTCACGTTCAATGAAATGAATGTGTTCTTTGCGGCAAAGTCATAACTTCTGTTAAGGTCTTCTTATAAATAACTGTTGAGTTTTATTTTGAATTTTCGAAGTGAACGTTGTGCTTCAGTTTTTGTTTGTTTCAGATATATATATATATATATATATATATATATATATATATATATATGTAGTTACGAGTCTTTTCTTTGCGTGTAGGATTAGCAATATTGTTTGAAGATTTGTGATAATGGGGTTTCTACAACTCTTCTGTGTTGCCTCTTTCCCGGTGATAAAAGTATTACTGGTGACTGCACTTGGCTTATTTCTTGCACTGGATCATATAAATATATTGGGAGAAGATGCAAGGAAGAATGTGAATCATGTAACTCCTCCTTCAATACTTCAAAAAAGTTTATCCTTTTTCCCTCCCCCCTTCTTTTTATCTATCTAGTTTAATGATAACAGTGCCTTTTTCTGTGACAGATTGCATTTTATGTGTTTAATCCTTCACTGGTGGGTAGCAGTTTGGCCAAAACGATTACTTTCGAGAGTGTTGTTTTGTTGTGAGTATTGATTTGTAATCATATTGGCAGGAGCATCCTATAAACTTTGCTTTCGATTTAAGGATTGGTTCCTTCATTTTAATTCAATGCTTAATTCAGGTGGTTCATGCCAGTGAATATTCTTGGCACATTCATATTAGGCTCGGCCTTAGGATGGATTTTGATTAGAATCACAAGGCCTCCCAAACACCTGGAAGGTCTAATATTGGGTTGCTGTTCTGCAGGTATCACTCCTCTGCATAAATAAATGAATGCAGGGAAGCCACACATGTAATCTGTGTGATGCTTTCACTAGATTCTTAACTACATGCTAAAGACCCTTCTTCCCTATATAACTTAGTAAACACAAACAAGCCATTCATTCTTTAATAATAGATTTGAGAAATCTTAAATCATCAAGAAAAAAAAAATGCTGTTTCATAGCCTGTCTTATCTGTAGGAACTCATATGTATGTATGAATCTAGTTTCCCTGTCACCTGCAGATTTCTATTGCTTCTATATGTTTATCCCCTGCTTAAATCTATGCTTTCTATCAACAGTTCTGAAGATTCTAAAAAAAATATATCATAATTGTCCTAGGAAACGATGTTATATAGCAGCTCCTTATACATGAGGTTTATAGCAACCTAATTTTGGGTTTCTGACTGATAATTATATGCTTATTGCACACTAAAGTTTTACTAAAACTAAGAAAACATATTTCACTTGTCGTGTCCTGTTGCCTGTATTATGTTTAGAATGTATTATTTTTTTATCTAAGCTTCAAATTGTTGCATAATTCCATGCTTGATGCATCTTTTTGGTTGAGCTCATCTTTTAGATGAATATTGACAGGAAATTTAGGAAACTTGCCAATAATAATTATTCCGGCCATGTGTAAAGAGAAAGGAAGTCCTTTTGGAGAACCTGAAATCTGCCATCAATATGGGATGGCTTATGCTTCACTTTCTATGGCGGTATGCAACTTCATTAGTTCCTCTGATGTTAATTTTGAAGTTTCAAGTGCTGAGAGTGTGCTAAGAAAAGAATAAACTTATTTGGTTCTAATTGATTCTACTTTTGTTCTTTTGGATTGGGGGTTCATTTGGGGAAGTTTAGATTGGAGCAATTTTTCTATGGTCATATGTTTACAACATAATGCGGATTTCCTCAAGCAGAGTCCAAAAAGAAGGTAATACAAAGAATGACCCCAGCACATTGAAGGCTTCAGGGGAGATTTCAGAGTCACACCCAGATAATTTTTCAGAAACATTTAATCCTGCAAAAGACGCCCTGGATGATGCATATACCATACTACTTCCTAACAAACAATCTGAGGAAGTGAAGGTTGTTACAAACTTCCCTTGTAAAAGATATTATATACTAATTATAATTTCAGAATAGCTCTCTTTACAGGCATTGTGTAACTAGCAATTGCATTAATAAACTCAACAAGGAAGGGCCAGCTTATATATAATGTGTAAGAGAAATATACTTTAATATTATAAATGTGACTTTTACATAATAGCTTAAACTTTTGGATTGAATTGATTCTCTATATGGTAAGTTTAAATTATTGGGTTGAAATGATTTTTTACATACTCTAATACCATATAAAATACCAGTTCAATCCAAAAGTTTAAGTTATTAGGTGAAGGTTACATAAAAGATTTTATATTACATTTCTCTGTCATTACCCATAAATTTCATTTTAATTGAGAAAAAAAATAGGTATTCAGGGTTCCTATTTCACAATGAAAATACATAAGGGTAAAAAGTACAGGGAGATAATCAATTGTTTTTTCTACTTTTTCTTTTCCTTTTTAGTTTAATCATTGCATGGCAGATTATGAGTTCAAGTTGAAGTTACACAGCAGAATTAGCATTTCAAGTAGCTTTGGAATCATAACACGTACTAAAAGGACGAAGGAAAACAAAATATAACTCAGAAATCCTAAATTAAACTACAGTAAGTTGAATTCCCAGTCCTCAATGAATTATATACAGAATGAAGAATCCTTAATATAATTCCACCAAGCATCTTAGCTTCTACAGCGCTACTATCTCAATTTATTTGCTTTAATATAGCTCATGACTGATCTCCTTCTATATGCAAGAGAATTAACATAACTTATGGTTAATCCATTATGCATGTATCATTGAATACAATAATGTTAATTATTAACTCATAAAATATTCTGTTTTTTCTTTCTTTACATTTGTCATATGACAAGAAATGTAGTCACAACAAACTCATAATATACTGTTTTGGTGTTTTCTTCCAGGTTCCAATCTCTGATAAAATTAAGCACCGCTTTAGGACGATTTCGAGCAACTTCAATTTAAAATCCATATTTGCGCCATCAACCATTGGAGCAGTATGACACTGTTCATTTCCTTGCAAATAAATTGTTATGTTGTTTTCCCTGTTTGTTATTCACTTATATTTACTGCATATTTAGAAATATAAGCTGCTCTATTCTAAGTGCACAGATATTTTTTTGGTATAGAATTTTTTAATGTGAAAGGAAGGGATGCATGAATTAGTTTGATACCTTTGACATTAACAGAGCTAAAATTCACATAAGGCCTCATGTCTAGACAGAAATAGTTATTTTACTTATTCTCTCATGTCTCAAATCTTATTTTAGCATAATATTGTTTGTTACGAATGGCTGAAATAGTTTATGTTAAATGTTTTCTGTGAGTGTCCAAATAAATGTATCTTTTTTTTTTTCCACAGATTACTGGCTTTTTCATTGGTGTGATCCCCCAAATACGTAATTTCATTATTGGCAGTAATGCTCCACTTCGTGTGGTCGAAGACTCTGTATCCATGTTGGGGTATGCATCTCAAAACTTAGTCTTCTAGATTTACAAGTTACAAAATATTGAAAGCCAAAATTATGTGGAAGACTTATCTTAACTACAATATTGCATGTTATTGTTTGACATGATTGTTAACCACTTGGTATTGTGTGACAAATTTGAAATCTTCAAAGTATGCTGCTCAAAAGCTCCAGGAACCAATGCTATTTATGCATCATATCGGTGCTAAAAGGAATTTAGTCACTTGCTTATGTTTGAAATTTGAAAAAGTCCCAAAAGTACAAAGACCTTTGTTGCTTTATAGTTGAGATTGAAGCAACTTCTGAACCCTGTTCTTTCTTTAACCTGCCATTTAAAACTCAACTCCTTCTTTTAATTTTTTATTTTTTTATTTTTTTTTATAACTAATGCATACACTTCATTGTTTATTAATCAATTCACTCGAACACTTCATGCCTTATTATTTTCCTAAGAAGTATTATTTTCTTAACAAGCTGGTGTTGGCAACCAAATCCTGCAATGTGCTCTACCTTCGCTTGTCTAAATGTTGCAACTAGTTTGTTGTTTTGCCATTATTCATCTGTAATTCAAAGTAGAACATCTGATTTTAATTATTCTCTCCCATTACTTCCAGTGATGCAGCCATCCCAACTGTCACCCTTATATTGGGTGCAAACCTACTTAAAGGTGAACGAACTTTTATAATGCTACTTGTGGTTTCTTACATAGACAATTTTTATTTTTATTTTTTATTTTTTTTGTCTTGTGATTCTGTTAATGTGGGTGAATGGACCAGGCTTGAAGGGAACAAGTGCTCCATTGTGGACCATTGTGGGAATTATAGCAGTCCGATATATATTCCTGCCATTGTTGGGTGTTGTAGTTGTTAAAGGGGCAATATACTTGGGTTTGGTCCAATCAGATCCCTTATATCAGTTCATTCTTCTACTTCAATATGCACTTCCGCCAGCTATGAATATAGGTACCATAATTCATACTTTTTCATTAGTAAATTCACTAAATGGAAATGCAACTATCAAAGCCTGCATTTTGGTATAAGACTATAAAAATAGGCCACCACATGACAATGGTTTTATCTATTATTGTTTCTCAGTAACATAGTAATGACTCAACAGATGTAGATTAATCTGCTTTTAGTTTTTGCACTGCATGATATGTTAGTGTTTTTCAAAACAAAAAACTAATGAATCTGCTCTTAGTATCTGAATATCATTTCATATGAGTTCCGTAAGAGTTTACTTTTAATACACCAAAATATGAGCAAACCTATTCTTTTGACAGGAAACCAGCTTTCTTTTGTTTCAACTGCTTTTACATTAGCAATTCGTTAGTCTTATATAATAAACCTATTCTTGTTCCCACTTTACTCTCTCCTCTGGCAGGAACAATGGCTCAGTTGTTTGGATCTGGTGAAAGTGAATGCTCTGTTATCATGCTATGGACATATGCTTTGGCGTCAATTGCAGTTACCCTTTGGTCAACCTTTTTCATGTGGATTGTGTCTTGATTTTGTATTCATTTAATTGGTTATTATTCAATCATTATCTTAACATTTGAGTTTACTTTTGATGCAATGATAGCATAAAAAGAATTTTATGTTATTATTTGATAATGTATTGTCACATTATTTAAAGAGTTTTTTTTATACGATTGAAAATTGAACACATAACGTAATACAACTTATCCAAACCCCTTACCACTAAACCAATCCTAGTAGCTTATTATTTAAAGAGTTTGATAATACATTAGACATCAAATTCATTAAATGATGAGACAACTTACACAAAAATTGTATTTAAATTAAATTATGAATCTTTTTAATTTCCAATTTTTCCTTAAAGTTTCATTATCTCTGCTTTAAGGAAATTGATTCTAGTTTATAAGTTAAGCCTCTTGACGACAATGTCCAAAAATACTGAAGTGAAAGTGCAATTTGTTAGCTCATTTTGTTGTTGTTGTTTTATTTTATTTTTCATCCTTTGAAGCCGAAACAAGAAGCGTGGTTCTTTGTTAGTTTTACCATCTTCACCTGATATTAGGATATTAAAATATAGACAGCATGATAATCAGCATTTATCGTGTGACTTTGTGTTGTGGTTTTTATGTGAGATTTTCACCTAATAAGGTTAAGTAAAAATTACAGGATCTTAGCAACATATGATTCTCCCATTATACTATTATAATCATAAATTTTTTTTCCCTTAGGTATTCATTTAATCTATATGTAATCTCCACCTGTGATTTATTAATTTGAGTTTCGGAGTTTTTATAAATATATCATTCCGCATTTTGTCAACAGAGCATCATTATCAACCTCTATGCAAAAAGGCCTAGAGAAGTGTTGGAACGATGTTCCTCAATCAGTACTGAAGCAATCACATGTCTACAAGTCAGCTCAACAGCCCGACACGTGAAGGTTGGCCCGGTCAACAGGTCAGGCCAAAAATACATAAATAGAGAGATTGAGAAAAAAACACAGCAAATTTTAAGGTGAATTTTTTTTTCCTAATATAAAGAAGTAAAAATTATGAAATTAGTCCAGAAAATCTTTTACTATGATAATAGTAAAATTACAAGAATCAAGTTTTTCCATTATCACAAGTTAACGTTCAAACTTCACCTACAATAATAAAAGGAGGGATATTCTTACAACCAAAATCTTCTACTACCAACTCACTACCTATCTAATCACTATTGGATCAACATTTTCTTTTTTTCAAATTTTTTTTTAGCATTTTTTGTCCTTGATTCAATGGTGATTAGATAGGTAATAAGTTAGTAGTAGAAGATTTTAGTAGTAAGAATATCCTAGCTCTAATAATAATAGTCAAATTTCTACACTAAAGAAGTTTGTCACCTATTTTTTTTTTTTTAGAGGATTTTCTAACAAGCTAACATTTACAAAAGGTTTTTATTTCTTTATATAGGTGAAGTAAAACATTTCACCTCCTTCCAAAATCTTCTTCTATTACGAGATACGTAATATTTATTGGATTGATTATTGAGACATTAAGTCATGCATCAATAAATACAATGCATATTCAACCACCAAAGATTAAGGAGAAACACATCCCAAGAAGAAGTTAATTCATATCCTTCAAGTAATATATATATATATACACACACGAGGAAGGTTATACTTACAACCTATTTTTGTTTACAACTTTTTATAACTATATCTTAACCGTTAATTTTCGCCAATTAACGATTGTCATTTATTGCGATTAATAATTAATTAATAAATTTGATTTGCAAAAAACTTAACTGTTGATTGACGGAAATCAACGATTAAGATACGATTGTAAGAAGTTGTAAACGAAAATAGGTTCTAAGTATAACTTTCCCATATATATATATATATATATATATATATATATATATATATATATATATATTATGACATAAATCTTACATTTAACTTAGCCGTTGATTTTCGTTCATCAAATAATTATAATTTATTGAATTATATTCATTAATTAATTATTAATTTTTAATAAATCATTATAGTTAAATATATGAAAATTAATGATTAAAATTTGATGTAAGATTTATTATTTTTATAATGATATAAGAAGATTTGTCCCTATATAATATAATTATGTTAATTAAAAATTTAAAAACAATGAAGTACGGGTTACTAAATTGTAATTTACCTAAAATCTTTCAAGTTTTAGTATGTGAATCCATATAAATAAACTAAAAAATTCAATCCATATAATAAACTCCCATGTCGTTATGCATGTGTACCCTTCACCAAAGTGTCTATCATTTATGACTGGGTGCAGAACTGTGCGCCCGCAGCATGAGGCCTTTCTGCCTTTGATGTGAAATGCATTGCAGAGACACGTGCTGTACCAGAATATAAAGTTCTTGGACTAATTACTGATATTTTTCTGAGATAGTAATTAATAAAAACATACATTTTAATTCTGCACATTACAATCGGTCACTTTAGTTTGTTTGTTGGGTCAATTTAGTATTCAATGTCAATTGTCACGTTACGAAAAAGTGTTCTAGCACTAAGAGTGTTTATCAACCGATTCAAACCGATTTAAACTGCGGTAATCGAATTGAAAATAAACGAAACCAGAAAAGCTAAGAGCTCAGGGAAGAGAACAGAAAAGCTAGGAGAAGAGAGACTCTCATATTGGAACGTATTTCATTAATTACAAAAGCTGTACAATAGATCTATTTATAGATCAGTGATTGAGAGGATAATCAGTTGCCTTTGGTGCAACTGAATCCGTGAATAGTGGAGCAGTCACTAACAACTTGAACTAACAAAGTAACTGAAAGCTAAGTGCAGTAACTAAACTAAGTGCACTGTGATGAATTAGCTGATTTACAATACTGTATACTCTAATATTCCCCCCTCAAGCTCAAGGAGGATGTAGCAATGATGTGTGATCAAAAACCTTGAGCTTGTCTCTGAGTTCTCCAAATCTTGCAGCAGACAAAGGCTTGGTAAACGTATCAGCAACTTGCAGTGGACCAGGAATGTGTTGTACTATAAGGGATTTTGCCATAACTTTCTCCCTTACAAAAAAGAGATCAAGCTCCATATGTCTGGTCCTGGAATGGAGAACAGGATTGTGTGCTAGAGCAACCGTGCTTTGGTTGTCACAATAAATAACTGGAACTTTAATAGGAACCTGTAATTCCTTCAATAAGGACTGAACCCACAACATTTCAGCTGCAGCATGTGCAAGACTTCTATACTCAGCCTCAGCACTAGAACGAGCCACAAGAGTTTGCTTCTTTGCCCACCAAGAAATGGGATTAGAACCTAAGAACACACATGCACCTGATGTAGATCTTCTGTCATCCGGATCTGCACCCCAGTCAGCATCACAAAACGCCACAAGTGAGAGTGGTTGATGCTTGGAAGGAGGATGAAACAGAAGCCCATAAGAGATGGTTCCTTTGAGATATCTAAGAATCCGTTTGACAATTTTCCAATGCTCCTCTAGTGGTTGAGAGAGAAACTGACACACCTTGTTGACACTGAAAGCTATCTCAGTTCTGGTCAAAGTAGCATATTGCAAAGCTCCTACAATCGATCTGTAGAGTGAGGGATCCGAGACATAATGAGAACCATGTTTACTTAATTTGCAGCTGCTAGGCATGGGAGTAGATATACTCTTGGAATATGTCATACCAGCCTTGTGCAGAACATCTTTGATGTACTTTGACTGAGACAAAAAAAGTCTGCCATTAGAAAGTGATTTGACTTCAATGCCAAGGAAGTAATCCAAATTACCAAGTTGTTTGAGAGCAAACTTGGAGTTTAGCTGATCAGTGAGATGTTGTATGAGATCAGAGTTGCTACCAGTGATTATAATATCATCTACATAAACCAAAATGTAGATGCAATGACCATTGGATCGAATAATGAAGAGAGAAGGATCACACTTGCTAGAGACAAAGCCAAGCTGATGAAGTGCTGCTTGAAATTTCTCAAACCAAGCCCTTGGAGCTTGTTTGAGACCATATATGGCTTTATCAAGTTTGCAAACTAATGACAAGTCAGTAACCTCAAAACCAGGAGGTTGAGTCATGTAGACTTCTTCCAAGAGTTCCCCATTGAGAAATGCATTGTTAACATCTAATTGCTTTAAGGGCCAACCATTAGACAATGCTAAGGTGAGCATAACACGAACAGTAATGGGTTTAACAACTGGAGAAAATGTTTCATTGTAGTCAAAACCATGTTGTTGATGGAAACCTTTGGCAACAAGCCTAGCCTTGTATTTATTGATAGTCCCATCCGGATTTTCTTTAATGCGAAATACCCATTTGCAGCCAATGGGTTGTCTAGAGGGAGGTAGAGGGATGAGAGACCAAGTGTTGTTAGCAAGGAGAGCATTATACTCAGTGCGCATAGCTTGACACCATTCAGGAACTAGCAGTGCTTGTTTGACAGTGGTTGGCTCCATATGAGCAGTGAATAAGGAAGGAGCAGGACCTTTGGATCTTGTAAAAAAAGTGTGAGTTGGAGAGTAAGGCCTGAGGTTACGTGGAGGAACATAGTCAGATCCTGATGTGAGAGGTGGAGTGGAAGAAGAAGCTGATAAAGGAGACTCAGTGAGGGAAGGACAGAAATTAGTATGGACAGGAGTGGATAATGGAGTAGAGCCAGGACTAATGTTGATGTTGACTATACCAGGAGGTGAAAGAGACTGAGGACTCGAAGTAGCTGATGCATCTGTGATATGTAGAGTGGCTGGTCCAGGAGAAGGAAGGTGTGTAAGGGGTTGTGCTGCTGTATCTGAGATGGGAAGACTTGCTGGTCCAGGAGAGGAAATATGAGGAATAGGCTGTGTGGTACAGTGTGATGTTTGATGAGAGCAATGGGGTGCAGGAGATGAGACCCGTGATTGTTGAATAAGGGAAGCATTGGGGAAAGAGCAAAAAGAAGGAAGGATGTTGCTAGAATAAGAGGCTGAATTTGGGATAGGTGTAACAGAAGCTGAGTCTGAGGGAAACAAAGCTGAAAATGGAAATTTATTTTCATTGAAAATGACATCTTTGGAT